AATAAACAGGATCTTTCAGCAGATCACTTAGAAAGAAAATCATTTAAATCTTTCTAGGGGGACAAGCTGTTGTTCATAAGTTACGGAGAGGCAATTTGTCCACAAAATCACAAACACACCTAAATGTGATGTTGTGGTAGTTTTACCCTGATGGGCAACTAAACTCCACCACAACTGCTCTCTCACCTCCTTGAAAGATGAGGGGGAGAAGAAAGTATGCTGGAAAGAAAAGAAGGGCTCAAGGGCTGAAATAAGGATGGGGAGATTACTCACCAATTATTGCCACAAGCAAAACAGATAGCCTAGGGAGATTAATGTAGTTTATTGTTTATTATTAGCAGACTACAACAGTGAGGAAATTAAAAACACCTTCTTCTCCATCCACCCTACTCTATGTCCTCCCCACCAGCGGTGCAGCAGAACAGAGAATGAGGGTTGCAGTCAGTCTATAGCACTCTGTCTCTACCACTCCTTCATGGTCACTCTCTGCCCCTGCTCCATGTGGGGTCCGTCCCATGGGATGACGTCCTTCCAGAACTGTGCCTGTGGGGGCTGCCCACAGGCAGCAGCTCTTCAAGAACTGCCCCAATGTGGCTCCGTAGCACGGGTTCCATCCCCCAGGAGCAAACTGCTCCAGCACAGGTCCCCAGTGGACGGCAGCTCCCCCCAGACCCCCTGCTCCTGCGGGGACTCTCCATGGGCCGCAGCCTCCTCAGGCCACAACCGCCTGCTCCACTGGGGACTCCTCTACTGGCTGCAGTGTGGAGATCTGCTCCATGTGGGACCCACGGGCTGCAGGGGGACAGCCTGCTCCACCAGGGGCCTCTCCACGGGCCTCATGGGAACTGCTGTGTGCCTGGAGCCCTCCTTCTGTACTGAGCTTGGGGGTTGCAGGGCTGGTTCTCCCACATTTTCTCACCTTTCTCTGCCAGCCACTGTAGCATAGCAGTTTTTTTCTCTTTCTTAAAACTGTTCTCCCAGAGACCCAACCAGCATCACTCATGGCTTGGCTCTTGGAACCATCTTGAGCTGGCTCTAACCTGACATGGGGACAGCTGCTGGGCTATGATTACAGAGGCCACCCCTTCAATCCCCCTGCCACCAAGCCCTTGCCATGTAAACCTAGTACACGTGTTGAAAATTTGTAATCCAATTCAAAGTTCATTGACCATTTTCCAAGTCACCAGCTTCTCATAACTGTATTCTATACAAATTATATAGGGGATATTTCTATATCACTCAGTTACTTGGCTGAATTAAGGCTGAATATGAATCCTCAAGGTAGTTTAAGTCAGGTGTGTCTGGACTACAAAGCCTTACTTATACTACTGTATCTTATTGTGTCAATTTGTATGCTTAAGGGTATGTACAATGTGAGGATAGCAACTAGAATTTATTTATTGCAGGCTTTTTCTTTGCTTGGTTTTGTTCCTACATGAATTGGTGTTTAAAACATCATCTGGATTTCAGGATTACAATATGAGCCATTTTCAGGTATATTATTCCATGGTTCATCATACTGTGGGCTATGTAAGCCTTAGTCATGTATTCAGGAGAGTTTGTTTGCCTTCTATTGGATATCAGAGCAGGGAACTGAAAGTTTATGAAACATGATTTGCCTGATTTCCTACTGGAAAGTGTATGAGCACTACCCAGAATTAATATGAATTTCTAGGGTCTAGCACTCTTCTCCCTTGTCCAAATAAAATCTGGGCTCTTCAAAATATGGGTAAGTTTTTGCTTCAAGGACTGGAAGAGGGCTTATAACTACAACTAAGGCAGGAGGCAAGTTACCTAGGTCCTAGGATTTTCTGTTGGACCTTGTGGAATGGGATTTGGCTTGAAGATTAAAATACCGAACTGTAGGTGTCTATATGTGGATATGATCTGAGCATCTAATCTCCTATCACAATTAATGGAAAGCTCTGTCAATGTTCTCAGTGAAGCCTTCTGAGCTTTTAGGTGTATACAGAGTTTGTGAATTCACTGTCTCACTCAGAGACATCTAGTGCTAACTTTGATACACCAGAAAGTCCTGTCTGTCCTTCTTCTGCTTTTCCAGAAGGACATAGTTTTTCTATATATTCTGCAAAGCACCCATAGGCCCTATGTGCAGATCTTTGCCACTCCAGACTATCACATGGTAGGGATACCTCTGTTTAAGAAAAAAAATAATTGATTTTCCTACAAACTGTTCCACAAAATTAGTGATTTCTCACTCTTCTAGTAAAGACCCTCAGTATGACTAAACCGGCTGCAGATGTCTAAAGTAAATCAAGATGGATCCCACACCCCATATTGATATTCCTGACATTTTAATATGTTAGCTCATTTGCATTGGTTGACCCAGATGCTGCTTGGTGCGTCTTAGCTTACAGGTGTCTTCAGCACCTAGCCCATACAATCTTACTTATTAACTGCTAGTGGGTGGACTAGCTGGCAATACTATGGCTCAACAGGGGATATGTTAATCTAAGTGTTTGTTGTTAGTTCCTTAAATCCAGCAAAAAGGTAGTGCATCTATTGTGGCAGAATGAGCCTTCTGCTACCACCCACTAACAGTAAGGCAGGTCCAACGTTACCGATCACAAAGTGAACAAAGGCAGATTGGTCTCAAGGGAGATGCTTTTTGCAGAAGATGAGATCAGGTTCAGACACTGAGCTGCTTGGGGCGATGCATTATTAAATGCTATCTACTGATATGCTACTTTTGTAGAAGCTGATTAATGATATCCTATTTTATTATTCTTTATCTTTTATCTTCACCTTGTTTCACAGATGTAACTGGCAGTACACGGCAATAACCAAAGACCCGTGGCACTCATTAGGTTGTGGCTGCTCCTCAGAAGTGCCATCAGGCATGCAATTCCTATTCACAATTTTGTTAATGATGCTGGTTAACATGTGTGTTACTGTTCAAGCTACATAGACAGAATGGTCTTGTCAGTCTTAAACTAACTTATCTTTTAGGTATCATTTCCTTTGACACAGTCCTCTGATATACTGAGAGATAAATAAAAGGCAGACTCTGTAATGTGTTCCTCCGGCAGTAAAATCTTAGCAGTAATGTTGTAGAAGGGTTTAATCTAACGAGTGTTTCTTTTGACCTGTTTTATATTTTATTAGAGAGTTAAAGCTGCAGGTCTTAAGGCACACTGAAACTAGAAACAAATTCTTTCTGAGTTGTTCCATGCTCCTTGGGATTTTTTTTGTCTTTGTGTGAAAGTGGGTGCTTAATCCTACCAGCACATGACTGGTAGAGAATACAGGTAAATCAAATACATTCAACTGCCTGAGATCCTGTTTTGTACCACTTTTGGGGTTGTGATTTGAGGAGAGGAGTAATCCCCTCTAAACAAAAACTAACCCAGCAAATAAAATGAAAAATTTTCCGCTGAATTATCTCAGCATGGGTTATTGAAAATTGACTATTGAAAAGTTAAAAGGATAAATTCAAAACAAAATGAACACAAAGAAGTCTATGTCCTGAGCATGCAAGTATCTGAACCCAGTCAACCCAGGGTAAGCCGAAGCTGGCAATGAATAACTACCCACTGTGACTCCTCAGGTGTCTGATCTTTGCATGCCCAGTAAAAAATAGGAGGTAATATGTCTCTTTTTCATTGTGGGTTTTGTTACTTCATGTTTATTACAGGGTAAGAGCATGTACATGAGCAATTTCTGAAGAACATTTGATTTGGAAAGACTGTTGCAATAGGAATAGGATAATCTTCCCCTTACATTTATTTGCTTAGGTCTTTATTCATACTGAGAAGTACCTCGAGAAGTACCCTGAGAGAGGTACTGAGAGGTACCTGAGAAGTACCTCGAGAAGAGCGTAAGCCTTCAATTGCATCCCTACCAACTCAATATTGACACTTCACCCTGGAAAGATCAGACAACTGTCTTACTTTAGTTCCCAGGAAACTAATGGCTTTTATGGTGTTATCTAGTAGGTCACCTTATGAATTTTTCTTTTGCATGTAGCTACTAGTTGCATGACAGCATTGTGCTTGCTAACAAAATCACGTTGCTAGTATTTTTTTGGTAACTGACAAAGCAGCCAGAGCTACAGTGGTTTTCCATCATGAAGCATCAAGTGAAAATCAACCTGAGAGCTACAGCCACCAACGTAAATTAAGTTCTGTTTCTTGATTTAGTTGCAAGGCTGAGATTCCTATGTGAGGGAAACCAAAGCAGAATCCACATTGGCATTACAAAGTGGGATTGCAGAAGACCACTGAGGAAAGGCTTAACTTCCTCTGTCTTACAAAGGGCACTGAATGACTAGAAATCCTAGATCTGAAAAAATACCCATGAGCTAGGCAAGACATATCAGAGCTTAACAGCTATGACAGGCTGAGGGAGTTGGGGGCATTCAGCTTGGAGAGGAGAAGGCTCTGGGGAGAATTTACAGTGGCCTTCCAGTGTCTAAAGGGGCCTGCAGAGAAATGGGGGAGGACTCTTTGGCAGGGGGCATAGGGATAGGAAAAGGTGTGATGACTTTAACCACCTCTCTCCCACAAAGTTAATTTCTGCCTCTTTGCAGCCCCTTAGTTGTAAAAAAAGGACTTGATATTGAGCTTTATGTTGAATTGTGCTGAGGAGCTGACCCAGATTAAAAACATACATATATTTATAGGGTATTTTTTATCATAGACCAGCTCCCCAATTCTTGACCTCCTCAAACATCTGGTATAGCAGAAATAACAAAATTTAAGGAAAAATGACAGAAATTGTTTGGTACAACACTGCTTCTAAAAGACAAACCCAGGAAGATAGGGCTGAAGTATATTATAGACAGGGTAATAAGTATATTTACATCGAGGGACACTCCCTGCCATTTGAGTCTGAAAGAGGTTGGTAAGACATTTATTCTTAACATAGCAAGTGCTCATTTGTGAGGAGGCTGGGAGCCAGATAAAAGGATTCTAAAAGGCTTCAGAGGGAAATATATATCTGGGGGAAATAGCCTTATCCACCTCTGATTGCTCTCTGCCATGCCAAGGGGCATCTGTAACCCTTACCCATGCCAAAACACAGAGGGTGGGGGAAGATTAAAACATGTCAGACCTTGTTTCCTTTTAAACTGAATTAGGCCACTCCTCACTCAGTCTTTGTTTGCAATTTGCATCTAATTTGGAGACACTTACCTCTCTCCTAAAATAGCATGCTGGGAACCTGGGTGCTAGACAGAAGGCTGCAGGTGCTAAGATGGGATCTCAGGAAGTAAAACACCAGGTTCTGCAGCATTTCTGGGGCCAGCTGAGGTCACTGAAGATCTCTGATAAAAGCCGGAGTACACACCCATTGTTTTCTTATGTGACTGTAAAATGGTAAGATGCTAATCTAAAAATGTGTAAAGCTATCTTTAGATTGTTTCTCTTTTCTTTAAAGTTTTTCTTTCTTGCTTGTTCAGCACACTGGCGCAGCAGAACAGACAGGTGCATGAGCAGTCAGGAAATCCACCTGAGAATGGCATAGAAAGAGTTACAACAATATTCATGTTTGATTGCATATAATTTATCTAAATGCCTGTATTTGGCTAATTATTAGTTAGGAAATTAATGAAGGTTATCACCTTATAGGTGGAAAGGCACGTTTCTGCTCAGATGATTAAGTTGCAAAGTACAACAGTCATGATTTTTTTAAGGGCATTCTATTTTTTGATGACGTCTTTACTCTTGCAGAGCAGAATTTAAAATGTGGCTGATGCATGACGTGACTGGACAGTTTGGCACTAGATATAACATGGTATGTAGAGGATGATGAGCTCAGAGTAAATCTGTTTGATAAAACCATTTTTTTGTATGATGAATTAAAATCAAGACAAACAGTATGGAGGGACAAATCAGAACTGGAAGAAAAAAATGGATGGGAAAAATAAAAAATGGAGATTTCTTTGTCTTGTGTAAACTGATGATTCCAATTAATTTTTCTGAGTTTTCATGAGTATGTGAGAAAAGGTTAAGCCAAATCTACATGTTCCTACAAAACTGCAGCCAAAAATGCACTAAAAATCAATGCATTTCCCCAATGTAGTGATCAAAATCAGAAGTTTGAGAATTGTAAATACAACTTCATTATGGTGCTATACTCACAATCTTTGTTAGCTCACTTTAGCCTCCCTTTATAGTTATCATCAAGTTAGATTTAATTGAGTACCAGAAGGCTCTATCTACTGTGCAATTTCAGCTACTTGTGAAAACATTTCAAAAAGCTGTCCTTCCATTCAGTACATAGGATTTTCTTCAAGACTGTATTTGAATACTATGGAAGTTATGGCATTTTGGTCAATGCATTCATGTATTCTTGCTTAGCAGGATGTTGGTAATGACTGGAAAGTCTGTTTCTTGCCTTACTCAAACATTAATATATTTATTTTGAAAAAGGGGGAAAATTTGGTATATTAAAAATAGTGTGCAGGATATTAAATTTCATTAGCATATTTTAAAAAAGTAAGGTTAGTGAACTTTATTATCCGATGATGATGTGTCTCTTACATTAAGTAAATTTTTGCCTTTGTGATACATGAAAGACCATCCTTTGCTGAAAGCTGTCAGGCAGATTAAAAAAATATCCTCTATTTTTCTATTCTTCTCTGAAGAAAGCACGGAAAGGAATGCACTGAAGGCATTACATTATCAGAAGTCTGTTTTCAACATTTTAGAATTTTATGAGATTTGTTGTTTTGTTGTGCCTGCTCTCAAAGATATATTGTTCCTTATATCAAGCCCACATGATTGTCTATTTCCTAGCTCTGTTGTACTGTGTAGAGTTTTTTCCTTAGATTTTAGTTGGAAAGAAATAAAGAGGTGCAGGCAAAATGAAATAAAAATAAAAGCTTATTAATGTGAAAATAGTCTTGAAAAAGAATGTGGGGTCACTTTTCTTTTGTTATTATGCCTGATATAGTTTGGAAGTTATAATAGGTCTAGCCAGTCTTTGAAGTGCATTGTCATTTACCTAAAATTTACTTATCTCATAAATGCATTGCATGTGTTGTTAAACACTATTTTCCTGCCACCTGCCAGGTTATGGAAATATAGCTCCTTGATGAAGGCATTATTTAAAAAATAGGGATCCTTCTTGGACATATTTTACTCCAATGAATGTATACCTTGTTTCAACTACCTTTCATGGAGAACAATTTTTATTTTAATGCATGCACAATATCTTTTTCTTGAATGTGGGGAAGAATTGTTGCATTATGCAGCCTAAGAGAGTCTAAGTGAGAGGCAGTCCTCAATTTCGGGAGGGATTTTTCAAACCTGCTGCACATAACATGATTTCAACACAGTTTTGCATCCTCACCTTTGAAATGTTGTAACACTTTAAAGTGTCAAATCAATCAAGGCTTAGGCACACATTTGAAGGCTTACTGCACGTTTTTGCTTTGCAGGCTTCAAGAACATTTCTTCAAATTCTACAAATAAGTGAATCAAGGCCTACAGCACGAAGGGTTGTAAAATATATTCATCTTGCAGTTTTCAGAAGACTACATGCATTCTGAGAATATCCAACATTATCATAACTAAGGATGATTCATTTTCAAAATGGCATTAAAGTTTCTGTTTCAATGCTAAAAGGATGTTATGACTGTTGAATATAAAATATAGAGAGAGAGCAAAATCACAGAATTTTTCAGCCTGTCTGCCATTAAAGGACTTTATTTTTGTAATGGTGAGAGGCAGGATACTGCTTGGCTGAACTGTGCCTATGATAAGTTTGGTTATTCCTGTCCATTACACCATTGCACAAGTGAGAGAATTGTTGTAGCTGGAATATGTCTTGCTCTCTAAACTGTGTACTTGTCCACAATGAGCCAAAAAGGTCTATGATATGGGGCATACTTCAGGCACTGTTGTCCTAGAGCAGTCAGATGCCGGCAGAGAACTCCATCCGTAGTAGGTGAAGAAGAGAATGTGAACCCCTTTCCATTGCTCCTCCCATGGCAGTTCCTTGTCTGCTCTGGATCCCTTGTAGAGACAGGAAGGGTTTTGAGGGTGCCACCTTGAAAGATGAAACTCCCCAAGAATGGGGTGTGGTAGGAGAAAGGCATGATCTGACATGGAGTCTGTAGTTGCTGCAAGGATCAGAGACGATGCACGCAGCCGTGCAATCATTATGATGTATCTTTTATAATGGCTTTTAAGTCTTTTACTAGCACCAAACAAAAACAAATTAATGTCTCTGTATCCTAGCTCTGGAAGTCATGGGTTTCTTGCTCCTAGGGTTTTTTTTATACCATCACTAATCTATCTACTGGTATTACCTCTCCAGATTTTACCTCTTTTAAGTACCACTTATTTATTTTATACCAAACTGTAATGGGTTAAAATTCTGGTAAATAAAAAAAAAATTCTGGTAAAGAACAGAATTGGCTCTTAATGTGTTTTGGATGGAATCTGGGAACTTGGAGCTTATTTTTGTCCTAAAGATTGCCTTAAATGTGCTTATGGTAAATGAGAACGTGGGTCTGATTCTCTTGTACCCAAGGAAGTAATTCGGTGAAGGTTTTCCATATTGTGGGTGTTCTTAAGCCATGATTGTGACTTGAGGCTAGGAAAGGTTGTGGGCATTACTTGTGAGAACTGTGTAATTAGCTCCTGATTTGGGTATTGTCAGTCTGTGAGGACACCCAGTGGCTAGAGGCCTTGGTCCCAGTTCCCGCTGCAGGAACATCATAGTTGTGTGTGTTCAACAGCACGTATGTGTTATTATGTTATTTTGAACCACATCTCCCTAGTTTGTAAAGATCTTTTATGGGTTTGTCAAACATTCTATCAACGTCAAGACAACCTCCTCTAGACCTAATTCCTCGTTAAAGAAGAAAGTTGCACTGGTTGGCAAGATTAGCTTGTGACAAAGCTATGCTAGTATTTTATGCTCTACTAACTACAAAATGACTGGTAAACAATTTGGTCCATTATCTTCCTGGATATCTAAATTATGCTTATTGACCATTTGTTCCATGGGCTCTCAGAGGTGAGATGAATGAAGGTTGATTTTAACCTCACTACACTACTTTTATTTCCTGTTATGAGTGACCAAGAAATCATTTCTTGTGTTTTGGCTTAAGACAGAAGGGAATAAGTCTCTAGTCCCACTACTAAAAGTAAACTGACTTTGAGTGGGGTGTAACCGGTCTACCCTATTCCATGACAACCACTGGATTATACATTGCATTGACATCATTTTTATTTGGATCTGTGCTAACAATTTGAGAGTGCACGCACTCATGTACAGTGCTCACAGAATCAGAGAATTTCTAGGTTGGAAGAGACCTCAAGATCATCGAGTCCAACCTCTGACCTAACGCTCACAGTCCTCCACTAAACCATATCCCTAAGCTCTACATCTAAACGTCTTTTAAAGACTTCCAGGGATGGTGACTCCACCACCTCCCTGGGCAGCCTATTCCAGTGTCTAACAACCCTTTCAGTAAAGAAGTTCTTCCTAACATCTAACCTAAAACTTCCCTGGCACAACTTAAGCCCATTCCCCCTCATCCTGTCACCAGGCACGTGGGAGAACAGGCCAACCCCCACCTCGCTACAGCCTCCTTTAATGTATCTGTAGAGAGCAATAAGGTCGCCCCTGAGCCTCCTTTTCTCCAGGCTGAACAAGCCCAGCTCCTTCAGCCGCTCCTCGTAGGACTTGTTCTCCAGGCCCCTCACCAGCTTCGTCGCCCTTCTCTGGACCCGCTCAAGCACCTTGATGTCCTTCTTGTAGCGAGGGGCCCAAAACTGAACACAGTACTCGAGGTGCGGCCTCACCAGAGCCGAGTACAGGGGGACGATCACCTCCCTAGCCCTGCTGGTCACAGTGTTTCTGATACAAGCCAGGATGCCGTTGGCCTTCTTGGCCACCTGAGCACACTGCTGGCTCATATTCAGCCGACTGTCCACCATCACTCCCAGGTCCTTCTCTGCCTGGCAGCTCTCCAACCACTCATCTCCCAGCCTGTAGCTCTGCTTGGGGTTATTGCGCCCCAGGTGCAGGACCCGGCACTTGGCCTTGTTGAACTTCATGCAGTTGACCTCAGCCCATCAGTGCAGCCTATCCAGATCCTCCTGCAGAGCTTTCCTACCCTCAAGCAGATCGACACACGCACCTAACTTGGTGTCATCTGCAAACTTACTGAGGGTGCACTCAATGCCCTCGTCCAGATCATTGATGAAGATATTAAAGAGGACCGGCCCCAGCACCGAGCCCTGGGGAACGCCACTAGTGACTGGCCTCCAACTGGACTTGACTCCATTTACCACGACTCTTTGGGCCCGGCTATCCAGCCAGTTTCTAACCCAACGAAGCGTGCTCATACCTATATCCCAGCATTGCTTAATTTGCTGGTAGAGAGGTACCCAAATGAGAGGGCAGTACAACATGAAGTGAAAAAGTGGTGGAAATGAATGAGGAAAAAAAATATCAGAAGAAACAACAAAACAATAAGCTCTTTGAATTGTGAAACCAGGCTTTGAACTTAGAGCTCACCTTTCAGTACTAGCAGAAATGCCACTGAAATTAATGACTCAGAAATACGTACTGAAATTGCCACTGCAATCAGTGAGTCAGAAATGTGTGCTGAAATTCTCGTGCCAAAATCTCTGGGACTTGAAATCTTAATTATGACAGGAGCTTCCTTATTAAAAGAGCATTGGAAGGTGAAACTGTTGTAAGGTAAGGCTAAAATAACATGTAGTCCTATTGTTGACTCTGCGGCAGAACACTTGCTTCCCAAAGGTCACAGAAGCAGGTATTGCATGTTATTTGTAGAAGCATCCATTCTCTCTGAAAGAGATTCTGAAGAAAAGCTGTTTGTCTGACTGCTCTTTTTGACTAGGAAACCTCCAGTTTCTCACATTAGTGGTTTCTGCTTTCTTTGCTAAAGAACTGAGTTCATTTGAAGACTTCATACAGTCAAAAAGTTGATGGAAGTGAACTGTGTTTCATGGTAATAAAAAAGAATGAGAACTAAAATGAATTGGTGAGTGAGAAATTAACAATTTAATGATTGATACAGCAAAAGCAGTCATTCAAAAAATAACTTTGGAGAACACACTTACTTGTCATTAAAAGGAAAATTTCCAAACACAAGAACCATCCCCTTCAGCAATTTCTTTTTGTGAATTAAACCATTTTATTGGGCTGCTCTTTCTGATTATAGAGCAGGTTTGGTTATCTGTATTTATGCTAAGTGTAATCTTACATTATAAAAAGGATCATTAATAATAATGAACTATATATTTTTTATTTTTTTTTTTTGAAGTAATAGATGTAACTATTTTAAAGTACAAATTAAGTCAGCAAAAGACACATTACAACATTACAAACCAGAATAGCATTAGTGGAAGTTGCTCTGCTCTCCTAATTTGTTTTATTTTACCTTATTTTGAGAATTACATATTTCAGGTAATGTCATTTATCTTCTGGTCTAGTTTACAATACATAAATTGAAAATGTTGATAAAGTTAAGATTAGTTCCGTTAGTATGCTAAGAACATAAAAAAACATGGAACTTTATGGAACACAGTGCTCCTTTAGTAACATTTTTGGAAAACAAAGATGTGAGAAGCTGATCATTATATATGTCTGATATCCAAATGCCAAATTTCAATTAACACCTCCACTACACTTCCAGAGCATTATGTGAATAGAATATAACATTGGCCTGTAGCTCTTCCTCATATGTATCACTGTACTGAAGTCAGTCTTTTTGCGTGCATGGGGAATGTAGGATATACTTTGTTTTAGTGAAAGAAGTTATGAAGGAAATGGATGTGTGGGAAGTGATGAGCTTTTTATTTTATTTCAGTTTTGCATTGGCAAGAAGCTGGGCAGTTCTGCTTAACAAAGTCATTGGCACATCCATAATCTTTTTCCAACTGAGGACAATTGGAATAAAGATCCTGAAACTTGCAAGGGTTGGCTGAAAATGAATAAAAACACAAAATCACAAATTGGACATAAAAATCTACAGTGTTACCTTTCAGAATAATTTTTCATTGATATTTCTTTAATCTCTCATTTTTCCTCCTTGCTGTTTACTCCACAGCAGCAGCCAAGATTTTGACCACACCTACAGTATTCCTAGCTTTTTTCAAGGTTTGAACTTACAAGCTATTTTGACCTCATTGCAGTCAATAGATCTTCTTACACTAAGAAATACTTGTGAGAGCTTCTGTATGGAGATCTAGACCTTGTCATCTTTAATTAAGGTCATATGAATATCTTGATCTATCCCTGTGGGTCCAAAAAGCGGAGGGTATCTGCATCCCAATGTACATAAAACCAGCTACCATTTAACATTTGCCCACCCTTCTCACAGACTCCTTTTTTGGTTTCACTCCACAAGTTGTCCCACATAGGTAAAGCACCTAATGTGAGGAAGCCTGGGACTGCAATTGTTCTTCCATAAAACAGATGATAAATAGTAATAATATGGCAACCTATACAGCATGAGATTAATAGCTTTACATTTGGCCTAATATTTGAACAAACCATTTTAAAACTTCCCATTTGCATAAACTAATCGGTATTTTTTAGAGTGTCAACTTTACCTGTGTCACAATTAAAATGCTTAAAACTTACTGCATAATCCGTTGTCACAAGCATTAGGGCAGTCACCACAGGGTTTTCCTTCTTTGTAGGGTGTCTTCATTAAATCTACACTATTCCCCCTGAAACATAACCATTACTAACATAAACTATAAACTGATTATAACATATCTAAGAGTTTAACTTAATTATATGGATGCATACATATATAAATATATGCTAAATCTTTATTTATAGGTCAAGCTATTGATATATAGTAGAATGTGAATATGGAAATTAATTTTAGACAAAGTTTATAAAACCTCATTCTGCCTTAAAATCCTTCCCCCTGCCCCCCAAATAGTATTATGGTACCATTATGCCTTTCTGAACCAAGGTTTCAAGGAGAATATGGAAAATATTTATCTGTGATCTACTATGATGAGAATTAGGGTTTGGGGCAAATTAAATTTAATCTGAAAATCAGTGTCAGCATTATGTTTTATGCTTTTACTTGCTTGAGGATTCTTTTGAAAGGTATGTTTCTGTCCATATTCTTAATATGTTCCTAAGACCTGTTCCTGCGCTGTGAGTGATGCATTGTGTTACAAATTTCCTATGTCCTGTCTCATTTTGATAATGTAATAAGAAATTCCAGTAGCAGAATCAATACATACGCAGGGCAGTACTGGCACACATAAAAGTACTTATAGGTACTTTTAGGACAGTAAGCAACCGCACATCCAATTTGGTAAGACTTGTACCAAACCACCTGCAGATATAAGAATAAAGATAATTGGAGAATGAAAAACAAATAGAATTGAAAATAATTGAAGTAAG